TCTTTATTTTCCTTACGCGAAAAAAAAAAAAAAAAAAATTTTTTTAAAAACAATATTTACAATCGCGTTCGCATTTTTCTCTCTCTCTCTCTCTCTCTCTCTCTCTCACTTTTTTTTTCCGTTACGTACATTGTTAGTGTCGTTTTAGAGTGACGTCACTACTACTACTGCTACACGATAGTTTCGAACTTTTTTTTTCTTTTTCTGTTTATTAAAAATTATTTTATTTCATCGAATCGATTTGAAAAGAGAGAGAGAGAGAGAGAGAGACATTTTACAATAAATTTCCTTCCCGATCGCAATGCGCGTGTATCGTTTTAAATTATACGAGTTCGTTGCGTAACGCCATCTTTGTTTTTCCTCTTGGGCTAAAAATAGGGAAAAACAAACACCGGAGGACATATTATCAATTAAGGTTTCGAATTCCCCCACCCCTCGCACTCACTCCATCCCTCCCCTTTTATTTTTAAGCCACGTTTTTTAGAAATAAAATGTCGCGAATCGATTCGCCGCGAATAATTTCTCAACGATATCTCGATCGACCGATTCGATATATCGCCTCTAACCCCAAGAAAATGTCACTCCGCGAGACTAAATTTTTGAAATAACAAACAAAAACAAACGAAAATTCGACAAAATCCGTGTTTGAAAACTATTTCGAGATATCATCATCATCATTATTATCATCATTATCATTATTATTATTAATAATTACGAAACGGCAAAAACGACTTCCATTTTTTTTTTTTTTTTCGTTGTCAAAAACGTTCTGGAATTTATGATGTAAAACAATTTACGTTCGGTTCAAATTTACGACACGTTTTCATTTCTTCTTCCACGACGCGATTCGATACGTATAATTGAAAAGAATTTTTTTTTTTTTAAATCTCCTGCCACGACGACAATTAATTAGATAAAATAAAAAAAATTTTTGAAATAATTTCGCGTTTGTGTGTCTGTCCATTCATTTCAACCCATTTACCACCTCATTTACCATCATCAAAATCTTAAAACGTGCAAATGAAAATTTTTAAAAATTACTTTTTTTTTCTCATTCATGATTTTCCGCCATTTTTTTCCCTCCTCCTTCTCCTTCCCCTTCCCCCTCCCCGCTTTCCGCCACGTCACGAACGGTAAAAATAAAAATAAAATTAAAAAAAAAAAAAAAAGCCACCATCATACATTTTTTCCCTTCGTTTTTTTTTTATTCGTTCTTTCGTTCGTTTGTTTGTTTGTTTGTTTGTTGTTTGTTACATAAAAGTTGTCGTCGAGTACACGCCTCGAAAACCTAATAAAATAAATTAAATAAAAATAAAAAATAAAATAAAAAAATTCCGTCGAGGATTATTAAAATTTTTCCCGATTGCCAACAACAAACATTCACACATCGAACCTGAAAGTTAAAAAAAAATTTTCTCTCTCACTCTTTCTCTCTCTCTCTCTCTCTCTAGTACTTTTCGTGTTTTAAATTATTTTTATATTTTTAAAACAAAATCATGATTCCTCTCGAATCGACTAAAAAAAAAAAAAAATATTTTCAAATGATGCTGGAAGGTATACTAAAATTCTTCGTTTTCGAATCGAACACGAATCGAACATTCTAGATTATTCTTTCCGATATTTATCTCAAACGATTTTTATCAAACAGTTTTCGAAATCTTTTCCTCTTTTTTTAGAAAAACAACAAAAGGAAAATGATAATAATAATAATAATAATACGAAACATTCGACGACACGTTTCACGTGCACTAAAAAAAACTTCCAGAAAATTTTCTGGATTTTGATTAGAATTCCGAATCTCAACGACCCCATTATCATCATCATCATCATCATCATCATCATCACCATCATCATTATCATCGTTTTTTTATTTTTCTCCATAAGACGAATAATTTTTTTAAAAAAAACAAATTTCCAGCCGATAACAATAAAACTTTTTCATTTTTCTCCAGTTATTATATAAATAAATAAATAAAAAAAACGTTTGTAAATAAATTCGATAATAATAATAATAATTAAATTTATGAGTACGACAAACATTACTTAAAGCTTTTAAAAGAAAAAAAAAGAAAAAAACTTTTATGTTAATGTTTTTTTTTTTTTTTTTTTTTTAAATCTAATGCCACTTTTATACTTCGTGTCCTTGCTTTGTTTTAAAACAGTAAAAAAATTTAAATAAAAACGTCAATGCATGACAGTCAATTCGATTTCCTATTCGAAAAAATTCCCCCCTTCTCCCCACCCGTGAAAGTTCGTATTCCTTCCTCTCCCTACCGCGCACAACCAAACCCTTTCTACACGTACTGACGTGTAAAAAAAAAAAATTTATAAGACGATGACGTAAACGAGAGCAAAAAAAAATGTTAACTTTATTAGATCACTTGAATTAAAATAATAATAATAATAATAAATAACCACTCCTAACCGAAAATTGCTTAATTCCTTGCAAAAAAAAAAAAAAAAAGCGTTTCAAAAGCTGACAGGCCCCCCCCCCCAAAAAAAAAAAAAAAACTTGTTATGTGCAAAAAAAAATAAATGTAAAGTCGAGTTTGAGATTCGAGTACCTTAAAAAAAAGTTTCTTATGGATTAAAAAAAAAAAACGACCAATGACGTGTTTGCCTTGCCGGAGGTACGTTCTCTCTCTCTCTCTCTCTCTCCCCATCTCCATCTCCATCTCTCTCTCTCTTTCTTTTATATAAAAATTAAAAAATGACAACAACAAAACTAAATAATTCGAACTTATGCCAACTGAGAAAATCTTAACCACACCAAAAGTATATATATATATATAACTTGTTAGATTTTATGATATCATATTCGGGCGTTAACCTCTCTCTCCCTCTCTCTCCCCCTTCCTTCTCCTACCTCCTCACCCATCCCCCTTTCTCTCATTTTCGTGTATCGATAATAAAATAAGAGAAAGAGAGAGAGAGAGATTATACCACCAAAAAATCCTTTTTCTTATCACTCCTCGAATTTTTATTTTTTTTTTGGGGGGGGAGGGGAGGGGAGTTTACCTTCGCTAATTTCTTTTATTTATGATTCACTATACATCTTTAGAATCATTATTATTATTATTATTATTATTATTGATATTACAAAAGATTTTGTAACGATTTCGATTCGATAATATTCAGGCTTAATGACCCTGATTAACCAAATAAGAACGTTTCGAATCATTATTATTATTATTATTATTATTATTGTTATTCTAAAGTTATTGTTATTATTATTATTATTATTATTATTATTATCGTCGGTATAAAATGACGTCGACCCGTTTAAAATGCAAAATAAATAAAATAAAAAAAAACTTACAAACATCCACGTTTATTTTTTATTTTTTTCCTTCTTGTTTTTTCATTGAGCATTTTTGTTTATTTACGTTCGCACGTGCACGACACGGTTACGGTCCTGAAATGTAAAATAAATAATAATAATAATGATGAAATTAACAAAAAAAATTCATTTAAAATCATTATTATGAACGACAATAATAATAAAAAAAATTGATGCTGGATTCAATCAACTAAAAATAAAAAAATAAAAAATTGTCAATGACATTTTGTAAATGATGATAATGATGATGATGATAATGATAATAATACTATTTAATTAAAAATAATAAAAATAAAAAATGATTCATGATAATTCTTAAACTGTGTGGCAAAAACCCAATGTTTTCATTGACTTAATAATTATTTTATTTTATTTTTTAATTCGTATTTGACATTGTCAAGTTTTGTAATAGAACAAATTCGATAAAAAGTTTTACGAATAAAAATTTTTCCATTTTTATTTTATTCTTTCACATTCGATAATTTTTGTATTCATAATTTTAATTCCTCTAATTATATTTAATATCATTGAATGATTTATAATGAAAAAGAAATTTATTTGTAAATTGTTTTAAACATACATATATAGAAAACATTAGATCTAATGATAATGATGATTAAATGATAGAATTCTCATTAAAATATCATTGCTTGTAAATTATGTAATAATACAATCAATTTTGTGTACAATGACAAACAATGAAATCGTTTAAAGAACAAAATGATGAGTGCCAACTGTTTGAAATTATAAAATTTCTGATTAAAATAAAACAATTTTTTATATTTAATAATAATTATACATTAAATAAATAACAAACATTTACTTACAAATTAAGTTATCATCCATTACTCCTAACATTTTAATAATGTAATTACATCATTTACAATGTGATGATGAATAATTATCTTCTCAGTTCCAAAATATATATATAAAATGAATATTATTATAGTTAAATATCCGTTTATAAAAAATATCCTTATATTAATATCATTTTAACCTAAAACAATTAAAAATTTTTTTTAAAATTAATTTACACATGAGAACTGTCAAAGTCGTCGGCATTTATTTTTCAAGCTTATTAATTTTTTAAGGAAAAAGTATTTTAACTTACTTTAATAAATTTTAAATAATACTGAGACGATAAACCCGAGTGTTAATTAATAAATTCATGTCACTCGATAAGAAAAAATATATTTAAAAAAAAGAAAAAAGTTAATAAAATTAAAAAGCTACATGTAAGTTTTAAATAAAACAACAATGTCGGACGAAAATTGTGTCGATATGCTAAACATAGGGAATGTACCAGGTGTTTATTTATTCTAAATAATTTTTAAAATGTAGAGTAACAAAAAAAAAAAAAAGAACAATTAATCGGTGACATACAACTAAAACGTTTTTAAAAAAAAAAAATGACCTATGATAATTAGGCATTGAATAATCGACTTCATTTTTTTTTTTAAATTTGTTACGTAAAAATTATTAATAAGAAAAATTTTTTGTCTACCACCACTTTAACAAACTTGGCAACCGCGCACAACATTTAAAATTTGATTAGATACAAGTGGTTGAATTGTAGAGCATTAGAGGAAACCATAATTTTTTTTTTTCCAAGTTTAGTAATTATTATACTGATTATTTATTTTATTAAATTGAAATAATCATGGTTGCTGATATTTACGGTTTTGCTTATGCTGCAACAGTTGCTGCTGGAGGAATTATGGGATATGTAAAAGCTCGTAAGATTATTTTTAATCCTATTTTTTTTTTTTTTCTTTTGATGTAATAATTGTACTTGATATTTAATTGGTTTTTTATCTTTTTCTAAATTCATTAAAATATATTCAATTTGTAATTTTAGAAAGCTTACCTTCATTGGCTGCTGGATTAGTATTTGGGGGTTTGCTGGGTTATGGAGCATATCAACTCACTAAAAATGCCAATAGCTATCAACTTTCACTCGGAGCAAGTTTATTTCTTACAGTTATAATGGGATATAGATTTGTTAACAGTGGTAAAATTATGCCAGCTGGAGTGGTTGCTGGTTTAAGTTTAATAAATGTTTTGAGACTGTCTTACAGAGCTGCAATGCCGATAAAAGAAGGTTAAAATTTTTCACAGCATAAAAAATTTTTTTAACCCATACAAATTTAATATATTAATCGATAGGCATTATTGTTGTAGTGGGCCACACACACACACACACTAACAATAATAACTGTATTATTAGCTTTAGAATTTAATATATATTTTTTAATTAAATTTTAAAAACTAGAATTTTTTTAAAAATCTGATAATATTTCATAAGCGAGTTAAAAATCTTTTTCAAAATTTAAAATAATGACAAAATTTATAAATGAAGTTATCGCAAGTCTTACAAAAATGATTTAAATCATTTAATTAATAATTTAAACTTATGCATTGCGACTAAAAAAAGTCTTAAGTCAATTTAAAATTAATTTTTTGAAAATTATATATGAATTATTGACTCAATCAATATTATTATCGAATAAATATTTGTTCAACATAACCAAGCAGCCAATATTTAATGGTACAAAGACAAAAATATACTTTCTAAAATTTTTTGTAAGATTTACTGTTGAGCTAACATTAAAAAAATCTTGGAAAAAAAAAAAAAAAGCGGGCTGCAGTTAAAAACTTGGAAAACATTTAAAGATAATTAAAAATTATTATTAATAAAATTAAAAAAAACTTACATATTTGAAAAATTTCTTCGATTGTCACCGGAAAAATTTTTTTTTTCACTAAGAAATTAAAATTTTAGGATCACTAAAAAGAATAAACGTCATGTAACGTCTTTACATGTGATGTGCCGCCAAATTTCGTGGAAGCAGAACAATTCGTTAAAATGGCGGCGTAAAATGAATCCGTGCATTGCGAAATTATGTCAACGACGTCGATTTGCTTAAAACAGTTACCATTCAAACTAGTCGTAGTTAGCAGATGAGGGTAATTTCTTATTAACATAATTATAATTTTTTTTATATATTTTTTAAAATTAAATCATTATAATTTATTTCATATTTCATTATTGTTTTATTTCAGTCCGGCTTTATACCGACACTTTCATTTTGCTATAAAAAAAGTTTTACTTGACATTATTAAAAATTACAATTATCCATAGCGATATAAAGAATAAGGTAGAGTTTTGGACTGTCAAATTATTACTTGAAGGAAAATTATTCGTAAAGTAAGTTTTATATGTCAAAAGAAATTGATCGTTACTGTATGATGTCAAATGATATATATATTTAAAATAATGTTGCATATTTCAAACCCTTTTGTAGATGTATGTGCTTTACTTGTTATACTGCATGATTGTGTATGTGTTTTCGACAAACACAGTTTCATTTTTTATTTTTTTATTTCCAAGTTCTTACATTGTTTCCTCCAGTGTTACAAATTTAAATTATCCTAATAATTTTTTAAGGAAAAACTTCCAATATAATCACTTTTTTTTTGCTCGATTTAATTCCATATTTATTTAAATTAGGTTTTGCATTTCTTTCCATACATAATTATAAAATAAAGCTGCCATTCTTCCAACCACAAGTTTTTACTTTTAAATTCATTAATAATAAAATTGCATCAGAGTAAAAAACCTGTTTTAGTAAAAAAAAAAAACCATATTTAAACCTTCAATGTCAAAATTCATATTCATTATTTATTTTTAAAAATCAATCAATCAATTTTTTATTATTATTATTTATTACAATCGAATAAAACTTTCCATTTCGATGTGTCATTTTAAATATTTCCTTTAATGGAAAAACGGAAAAATTGGTTTCGATTGTTACAATAAGTAAATTTATTACTTATTATTATTATTATTATTACCTTTTATTTAATGAAAATTTTTTAATAGTCTACCATTTATGTTTTTCTATTTCATTGCATGATTTTTTATGGCCTTATTTCACATTTCATTCGCTTTATGAAATTCAAGTTTGAATCAAAATCAATTGAAAATAATATAAAATGTATTTGTTAAAATTTGTTATCGTAAAGTCATTTGACGAAATTTAATGAATGTGTTTTATTATTTTAAAAACTAGTATTCAAACTATTAAAAAACTTGTTCAGTCATTTTTTTTTTTAAAACGTTGACAATTTGTCATAATGTCAAGGTTAATTGAAATTATGTTTTTCAATTTGACAAACAAACACCTTAATTAATGTTTTAGAAAATTTTAAAAGGAAAAAAAAAAGAGTGAGAGAGAGAGAGAGAGATGTAAGATGATGGATAATATTTGTTCCACCCAAAATCCCACTAGTGCCTTTTTTTTTTTTTTTTCCTTATTAAATTTTTTGTTTTTCCTTTGACCTACTGATATTTTAAAATAATCTTTATTACACTCAAACTTTTTTTTTTTTTTTTTTCAACTCGTTTGATAAATGTTACTTGTCACTTGCTGCAACACACACACACACACACACACTTATATGCAAATTCATATTTTTTTTTTTTTTTTATCAACTTTTATAATAATAATAATAATAATAAATTATTGTCAAATCAAAATCGAACCAATTAAAATAATCGATCGATTTAATAACGATTATTAATCCAATAATATAAATAATTTAAATCTTATATCGAGTTTATATAAAAATATATTCAAAAGACATTCATTATCATTATTATTATTATTATTATTATTATTATTATTATTATTATTGTTATTATTATTATTCTGACCTAATTTTGAATTTATTTTAATAATAAGGAAACTTGTGGTGAGAAAGAGATAGAGAGAGTGTGTGTTTTAATGTACTTGTACAAACCAAATGTTATTATTATTATTATTATTATTATTATTATTATTATTATTATTGTTGTTGTTGTTGTTGTTGTTGTTGTATTGTCCAATTTATTACCACCTGTTAATTATTATTATTATTATTATTATTGTTGTTGTTGTTTGTTTTTTGTGTTTGGGGATTTTTTTTTTGGAAATTTTGACTAATGATAAATGGGGGAAAGTTTTAATAGAAATACTCAGAATGGAATGGTAGAAGGAATTCATCTCAAAAACATCTCAAAAGCCACCGTGTGAAATAATAATAATAATAATAAATACTTCAGGCATTCATAGGAAAAGGTACGGCGTGGAAAACTTAAAATTGAAAGGGAAGCGTTTATTACAGCAGCTGCTCAAGACCAAGGGGTAGTTCTCAAAGTCCGCCAAGATGACATGGACCGAATTGACCAATCGCAGTCGGAAACAATCGATAACTTAATTTCCGGTTGTACGATATTGGCAAAACATGAATATCTAAAGAGGCACCATAAAATTTGTCAATATCTTCATTGGAGTGTATGCCGAGAATATGGAATGGATGGATTACCCAAGGAGTGGTACAACCACATTCCAAGCCCGGTTACGACAGTGGGACCGTGTACAGTTCTGTACGATCAACAAATCCACACTGACAGAACTGTGCCAACCAACAAACCGGATATCATCCTGAGGAATAATGCGGAAAACTGGTGTAAGCTAATTGAAGTATCCGTACCGGCGGAAAAAAACACCAGACAGCCAAAGAAACAGACAAAAGGCTGAAGTATAAAAATGTGGGGAGTAAAAACAGAAACGATTCCGGTCATCGTGGGAGCAGCACTGGGAGCCATGCCAAGAAGATTTTGAAGGATTTAAAAGAAGAAACCGTTCAGAAGATGGCGCCATGTGGGACGGCTCATATTCCTTATGGGTAGCAACAACGAAATTCGTCGAACGTTTATCCCTAAGGAATGGAAAATAGAAACCTGGAACAAATGGGATAAAAACGCCGGCAAATAAAAATCTTGTCTTGCTTAAAAACGAAATAATAATAATAATAAATGAAAATTCATCGTTGCCGCCTGCCACGAATATGTGAACAATGTTTGTTGTTTTTCCGAACACGTTTCCCTGATAAGAAATTCAATTATTTGCGAGATTTAAATATTTTTTAATGATAACAAATAATTGACAAAAGAGTTTGTACGGTTATTAAATCATTTTTGTTTATACTGTCATTAAATTTAAATAATAATAATAATAATAATTTTTTTTGGTTTATTTCGAAGGTATCATGTTATTATTATTATTATTATTATTATTATTATTATTATTATTATTATTATTATTATTATTAAATGTAAAAAAAAAAACAAAATTTTAAATTTAAATTTCAGATAATTTCTTCTTCTTATTGTTGTTATTGTTGTACACTTCTTGTCGTTGTCGTTGTTGTTGTTGTTGTCGTCGTTGCACTTCTTCTTCTTCTTCTTCTTCTCCTACTCGTCTAATTCTACTTCTTCTTCCGGCTCAGAAGAGTACATGTCTTCAGGGTGAGATGTCCGATGTCGGTCTCAGGAATTTCGCTGCTTTTATATTTTTTTTGTTATTCGCCACACTTTTGTCATATTACCCGAAAGTAGTTGACGACAACAAATCCGATCGTGTCAATGAGGGGTAAATTTTTTTTTTTGTTTTTCTTTTACTTAATTAATAATTTAATTTATTATTATTATTATTATTAATTGTTTTTTATTATTTCCGTTTGATAATAAGTTGTCAGTGGTGGTGGTGTATTGATGGTCGTGATGTTGATCATGTTGGTGGTGTTGGTGGCAATTTTTTTTTTTTTTTTAATTAACAATTTAATTTGCTTTTCATGCATGAGAATGACTATGTTTTATTATTATTATTATTATCATCATTATTATTTTTATTATGAAAACGGTTTGAAATTTATTTATTCATCCGCACTCGTGTCAAAAAAAAAAAAATAATAATAATAATAATAAAAGTCTACGAATCGAATGATTCTTCTCTTTTCGAATTTTTTTTTTTCCGTTTTATTTCTATCACATAATGATAATAATATCGAGTCGAAAAACCGGAAATGTTAGAAAATAAACGAAGGAGGAGGTGGAGGAGGAGAAGATGAAGAAGAAGGCGAACAAAAGTTGGCAAAAGTTTTACGATATTAAACAATTTAATCCTTCTTTTTATCTCGTGATAATAAAAAAAAAAATTTAATTATTTTATTAATTTCGAATCGTGATTTGTGTCTGTTTGTTCGTTTGTTTGTTCATTTGTTTGTCTGTTTGTTTTTATTCGTGTGCGTGTGCGTGCGTGTGTGAAATTTTCATTCGTGTAAGGAAAAATTTCGATTTCGAAAAACGGTTTTTAGGTTTTTTCCAAAACGTTTTTTTCACGTCGTGAAAGCGTATCCAGTATTATTATTATTATTATCGTTATTATCATTATTATCGCATTTTTTCGAAACTATTTCCGGTAAATTTAAAATGTAACTTTTGATTAAATGGGTGATGGTTTAAGCATGTTCCATTAAATTTTTTTCTTTTTTTTTTGCGTTACGTTTGTTGTGGTTGTTGTTTGTTGTAATTTTGACAAATTTTTTAACAATAATAATAATAATTTTTGTTATATTTTTTTTGTATATTGTTTTGTTTGTTCTTTTAGATTCATGACTCGATCTTGGACGGTGTTGGTGACTGGAGGAGCTGGCTTCGTCGGTGCACACACCGTCATACCCATGCTAAATCACGGTTACAACGTTATCGTTTTAGATAATCTCGTAAATGCGTATCAAGGTGATTGATTGATTGATTGATTGATTGACTGATTGATTGAGGGATTGTATTTGCCTCATAAGTCGTTTTTTTTTTTTTATCAGAGCCGTCGGCGAAAAAACCGGAAGTTTTGAAAAGGATCGAACACATAACGAATAGGGAAATTTTATTTTACAACGTGGATTTGGGGGATCGTGACGCTTTGTTTTCCATTTTCAATAAGGTAAATATTGCAAAAAAAAAAAATACATCGAATCATCATCATCATCATCATCACAGGTTTTTCCTTTTTCTTTTCTTTCCAGCATTCCATTGATTGCATTATACATTTTGCTGCGCTCAAAGCCGTCGGAGAATCATGCGAAAAACCTTTAGAATATTATAAAAACAACGTCATAGGATCGATTAATCTTTTAGAGGTTCGTTCGTGTCCTTCCTTCGCCATATTGTTTTTATTATTATTATTATTATTAATATTATTATTATTCGAATGTGTTTCCACGACAGGCTATGAAAGCTCACAACGTTAAGAAAATTGTTTATTCGTCTTCGGCGACAATTTACGGTACACCCAAATCCCTACCCATCAAAGAGGATCATCCCACCGGTCAGGTATATACGTAAACTCGGTATTATTTATAATAATAATAATAATAATAATAATTAAAATGGTTTTTTTTTTATAAAATGGAAGAATTTGACTAATCCGTATGGTAAAACGAAATTTTTCGTCGAAGAAATGATGAAAGATTTATGCGGGAGCGACGGGAGTTGGTCCGTCATATCTCTAAGGTATTTCAATCCCGTGGGAGCTCATTCGTCGGGACGATTGGGAGAAGATCCGATGGTGAGTGAGTGACATATAAACACCCGACATCAGGTCACATGGAAATTTTGAATATCGATCGTTTGTTTGTTTTTGTTTAGGGAATTCCGAATAATTTGATGCCTTTTATTTCGAAAGTCGCAGTTGGAAAATTGGAAAAATTGAAGGTTTTCGGAAACGATTACAACACACACGACGGAACCGGTAAGAAGAAGAAGAAGAAAAGGAAAAGGAAAAGAACACAAAAGGGTTTTTATTACTTTATGGTTAATTTTTTTTGGCACAGGTGAAAGAGATTACATACACATAGAAGATTTAGCGGAAGGACATTTGAAAGCGTTGAACAAGTTGGAAGAATCCTCAGGTTTAGGTTTTAAGGCATACAATTTGGGAACCGGAAACGGTTACACCGTTTTAGAAGTCATCGAAACATTTAAAAACGTGAGTGAAAGAGAGACAGAGAGTGAGGGTTATAAGAGATCAAATCCGGGGGGGGGGGAAACTCAAAGGAAATTTATCATTTTTTTTTTAAAGTTTATTATTATTATTATTATTATCATCGATCCTATGTACCTTTTTCGTGATAACCTCAATAATAGGAAAGAGTCAAAGGTCGTGACCTTTTGAAATTTTTATTTCTTATCGAATACCATCAATATTTATTTATTTTACATCTGAAAAATAAATAATTATTATAACGATGATAAAAATAATAATAATAATAATGAGATTCCTAAAACAAATAATAATAATAATAGGGGGGGGGAGGAGGAGGAGGAGGTGTGGAAAGTAGAGCGGATGTAAAAGAAATGTATTTTTATATTTGTAAAAGATGTGCCGCTCGACGATTTGAAATGTTTACCTTTTTTTACGACATTTTTTATTATTATTATTATTAATAATAATTGACGGGTCCCGAAATGGGATTTTTTTTTTTTTTTCGTTTCAGGTATCGGGACGCGACATAAAATACGAAATAGTCGGGAGGAGAGCGGGTGACATTGATTCGAGTTACGCGGATCCAACGTTGGCAAGAAAAGAATTGAACTGGTCGGCGAAAAGGACTTTGGTCGACATGTGTGAGTTCATTCATTCATTTATTTACTATCATCTCTCTCTTCTTTCTTGTTTCTACTTCCACGACGTTTTGGAAAAAGAAAAAAAAAAAATTCAAACGTTTTTTTTTTTTTTTTTTTTTTTTTTCATCATTTCAGGTTACGACACGTGGCGATGGCAATCTCAAAATCCGGATGGATTTAGGTCTTAATATATTATTATTATTATTATTATTATTATTATTATTATTATTATTAATATTATTATTTATATATTTTTTATTGTTATTAATATCATTATCATTATCGGAAAAAATAATTTATGGTTTATCAATAATAATAATAAAAAAAAATAAAAAAAAAAAAACGAAGGATTTTAAGGTAAATGAGAAAATCGTAAAATAGCAGTAGTAGTGATAATAATAATAATGATAATGATGATTACAATAATAATAATAATGAAAAATATTTGCGGTTTAACGGTCGAATCGTTTCGTCTGAATTTTTTTTTTTTTTTTTATTATAAAAAAAAATTTTTTTCAATTAAATATGGAAGCCGTTAAAATGGAAACGATTCGGTTACTGACCGTTATTTTAAAAAAATTTTGCTGTCGCCGAAGAATTCGAGAACGGGAACGACGAGAACGGATTTATTATCATCATTTATCGATTCGATAAATACCTTTCATTTAAATTAAAATTAATCGATTATTTATTTATTTAATTAATTAAATCGATCGATCCATCGAATCGAATTGCACAATTGCAATGATGATAATAATAATGACGTGAAATGTCGTAGTTTGTCGGAAATGCTACAGCAGCAAAATTTTTTAAATTTTAAAAATTTTATTTTTAAACAAATTTGTTTTCTTTATTAAGTATACCTTTAAAAAAAATGTATTAATTATTATTATTATTATCATCGTGATCGTTATTATTATTATTATTATTAACGGTTTTAAATGAAGACAAGTTTTCATTGATCAAAACATGGATTGGATGTTGGAAAATCTGTGATGACGGTGGTGTTGGAAAATTTTAAGCCGTTTCGTTATACGTCACGAACTATTTCCGGTTTTACTTTTTTCCCAGATTTTGGAAAATTTTCTCACGGTGATGATAAGCTGGCACAGTTCCGTCGGTGGAAAAAAAAAAAAAAATTACGATAGTGGTCCGACGGAAATAATAATAATAATAATAATAATTTATTAATTTAAAAGGAATTCGATAAGAAGGTTCTAGAAAATAAAGAGGAAAAGAAGGAAGGTAAACAAATTACGAAATGAAATCAATTTAATATGCGGGCGTGTAAGAATGTGATAAGAGATTAGAAGGTGAAAAAGTAGAAGAAGAAGAAAAAGTGGGCTATCTAGCGCCCTTTTCCTTCCCTTCCCCCCTCTCGACACGAGAGGTGCACGTGTGCGCGTGAACATAAGACGACACGAGTATTCGCCATCCTTGAAAATAAAATAATTCTAGAATATTCTAAAGAAAGTGCAAGAGAATGCGAGTGTTTCGGAGGAGAAGGAGGGGGAGGAGGAGGAGGTTTATGTCAACGGGTTTTAAATGTTTCATTATCATAATTACCGGCAACATAAAAAACTATTAGAATGTTAGCGTGACCCGATTACGTCAACGGAACTAACAAAAGCGAATAGCGGCGGTGGTGATGATGATGATAATAATAATAATAATAATAATTTTTTCCTATTTTTTTTTTTTTTTTTTTGTAGGAAATTCGGAGGGAAACGAGAGTGAAAGTTAAAAAAAAAAAAAAAAAAAAAAAAAAAAAAAGGAAAATTTATGTTGGTCGTGCGTAAGAAAAAAATTTAAAGTTTAAATAGAAAATTTGACGTCATCAATTTCCGTTACATTTCCATTCGTTTTAATTTCTCTCGATAAAATTTTTAACTTCTGGAATTTCTGGAATCGACTTGTAGAAAAACAAAAAGGTATATAAATCCCTTAAAAATAAACGTCAACTCTTAAATTTTTTTATTTATTACGTTTTGCTGGAATAGTTTTGCTTTTTTTTTTTTTATTCCAGCGCTGGAAAATAATTTATTTTATTATTATTATTATTTTTTTTACGTTTCGTTTAACAGATAAGATATATATATATATATATATAATAATTTACGTGACCTGGAAAAAGTTTTGCAAATTTGAAAAACTGATTTCAAAATCTAAAGATTATTTCTCTCGCTCTTTCTCTCTCTCTTTTCTCTCTTTCCCTCTCTTTTTTTTTCTATTTTTCTTTGTTTTTTCATCTCTCTCTTTTTCTTTCCTCTTTGTCTCTCTCTCTCTCTCTTTCCACTCTATATATTAAATGTTTAATACCTTTTTATCTCTCTCTTTTTTTCTATTTTTTGTTTTCTCATTTTTTTTTTGCTCTTTGTTTCTCTCTCTTTCTCTTTTTCCGTCTCTGTTCTAATTTTCTTTTCTACTCTTTTCCTCTTTTTACATCTCTTTCTCACTCTTTCTTTTTTCTTCCTTTTTTCTTTTTCTTTTTCCCTCTCTTTTTTTTTTTATTTTTTTTTTTATTCTTTCTCTCTCTTTTTTTTTATTTTTTTTTTATTCTTTCTCTTTCTATTCTTTCTCTCTTTCTTTTTTCTCTATCTCTTTCTGTCAT